TTCTCTCTAAATTTCATGCACATTAAGAGCCATAGTGCTATGCAACATTTAAATATGTTCTTTTTTACTGGCCTGGTCTTATTATTTTTAAAAAAACTAATATTCACACATATATATACACACATACATACATATATATATATATATATATATATGTGTGTGTGTGTGATATATATGCGTGGGTGTTGTGGGTGTTGGTCTCTTTTCCCAAGTAACAAGTAGTAGGATGAGAGGAAATGGCCTCAAGTTGCGCCAGAGGAGGTTTGGATATTAGGAAAAATTTCTTTACTGAAAGGGTCATCAAGCATTGGAAGAGGCTGCCCAGGGAAGTGGTTGAGTCGCCATCCCTGGAGGTATTTAAAAGATGAGTAGATGTGACACTTAGTGATATGTTTTAGTGGTGGACTGGGCAGTGTTACGTTTACAGTTGGACTCAGTGATCTTAAAGGTCTTTTCCAGCCTAAATGATTCTATGATTCTATGTACATGTAAGAGCCACGGGGTTCTCACAAGATACAGAAACACTTGTAAACCAACACTTCAGCTGTTGGGCTGACATTTTAATGACTGGTGCTCCAGTAAAACACACTGCTGAATGTATTCGTGGACACCTCTGAGCTGTCAGGTGCTGGGTGAGTGCCGGAGGTGCTGAGTGCCCTCTGTTCCCAGCGGTGCCATCAGGAGCTGGGCATAGTGGTGGTGAGGTCAGTGTGCAGGCAGGAGGTGGAAGCAGGCGGCCAGGCTCTCCCCTGTTCTCTAAACATCTGGGTGAAGCAGATGTTGTCACTCACATGCAGAAAGCTCTAGATGGTCTGGGGTTGTCCTAGCAGAGGAGCTGCCCACTGGCTGATGGCTGTGACAGTAGCAGCATGGCTGATAGGGGCACTAGGCTTGTCTCTCCTTATAATAAAAGGAGGGAAATTTCTGTGAGAGGTTCTGTGTTGGGAGCTAATCTGAAATAGTTTATATATTGCTAGGTGTTCTTCAAAATCCAACTGTTTGAAAGGGTCTTTGGAGAATGCTTGGAGTGCTTTCCCGACACAGGAGCTCCAACAAGGAGAGTCCCCCTTGGTGTCTGTCTGTCTGACTTCCTGTTAAAATGATTAATGCTGCTGGAATGTTAATGCATTTTCCATAACGTACTGTCGCAGTCAGGGTCTTGGGCAGGCATCTTTTATTGTTATTCAGTCTAAACAAAAAAATTCCTGCTGATTTTTGGTTAAGCTGAGGTCAGCCAGCATCTTCTCTATCGAATGGATATAGATCTTTAAAGAACATGGCTCTCTTCCTGCTGATAACCTCTTCAGAGAGAAATTGGGAACTTCAAGCTGTTACTAAATATTTGGTTTTCCTCAATAGGAAAAGTAGCAACATTTCTCAAGCTTGGGTGAGCAATCTGTCTCTAAAACATAAGCACAATTCTGTACTAGGCTCTTAATGGCTCCAAATTCACATGTCCCTTCCATTTAATTTTCAAAGGATGTGTGTGCATGGACCAAGCAGGTAAGTTGCCTAATGAATCAGATGATGAAAGAGAGTTGGAAAATTTAAGTTATGTTATGGTGTTTTTCCATCAGTATAGTGCTTTAAATTGTAGTAACTCTCAAGTTATTTGAGATCTCCTAGAAGTGGAGAGGACATTTTATCCTTGTTGCTCTGAATGGTGGTTCCACCAGCTAGTTTCTTGAGCATTGCTATATATTCCTATGTAGATGGGGCAGGGAGCAGGAGCTTTCAGTGGACATTCTGCATCCACAGGCATCTACGTCTGAGTTAGTCACCTGGGATCCCACAATAGCCAGTGGAGAAAACTCAGAGGGAGCAATTCCTCTCACGTTACTGAATTCTTATATGCTGAGTTGATAAATGGGTTGTGTTGGTGGAAACTTGCAGTATCTCCCTGGTGTATTATTTAGGGTGGGATGAACTGCAGCCTCACAGGTCCTCAGGCTATTGGTCGACAGGGGCAACCTGCTTAGATTCAGCTGGCTGCATCTGCATGGCTTCTCTAATCAATTCTGTCCCACCATCCTCTGATGGGTTAGGCTGATGTCACTTGATCTCTCTCACAGAAGATTATATTTTGGAAAAGCAATGAATCTGAGAAGGTCAGGATTGTCTGACAGCACATTGCTGTGGTGAAAGGCATATCAGTGAAAGGAGTTTGCGAATGAACAACAGAAGTGCTTCAAAGCTTTTTCCCAAAGTTAATCAACCTTTGAGTGAATGAGTGCTTGTCAAAAATTAGAATGTTCATCCAAGACAACCCTTCCGTAGATCATGCTTTTTATTAATCTTTTGTGGGAATATACACTTTTCTTACTGTGTATAAAAGATTCTGATGGAAGTTACATTTTTTGTAATATATAAAGAGCCTGTTAATCTTGGCAAATAAGAACACATGTATTTGTTCACAGAGTTTATTTTGTGTATGTAATTTTTTCCCCCCTGCTTGCTTTGGTAAGAAACTCTGAGGTAAAATTCCATTGCATATACGAAATTGATAAGTAACTACAAAAGGAGAACCAGATGGCATCCCAACAGAAGTACCAGATGTACATTTCTGCATCTTTTATACAGCTTGAGACACCCAGAAACACAAATTTCTATTATTTACCATAGAGGAGTTCATTACCCATATTTTAAAATTCAGAACTTTTCTCTGATGCTTAAGACTATACTTTTATATTTCTGTCAGTACATCAAACATAGAATCCAGGTCATTGGCAAACATGCCTACTGTGGGCAGTCATATTCCAAAATGGAGATGGCCAGACAAACATCTGGAGCTACAAATAAATTTCAGCAAAGTGCCTTGTGTTGCGAGCACTCATTCTCCAGGTGGGATTAAGGCTTTATCTCGTGGGGAGAGTGGGCAAGTGTTGCTGTAATGAGGACTGCATAGGAGGAAGAGGATGTTTACATTTTCCTCTGTATTCTCTAGTAGCTTTCAATCAAGAAATTTAAACATATGACCCTCCAACTACTTTATTTCAAGTCCAGTTTTTTGAGGTTTGTTTAATATCCTGCTAAAATAATTCATTTCTAGCTCAGTTGGAACTTCAGATCTTTCGTTCTGAAATCCCTTTCTTAAGACGCTGAAGTTTTCTTGTTTAAACAACTTATCTGGAAGACAAGTACATGGTACACTCCTGCCGTGTAGGTTTTCCCTGCATCGAGAGATCAACTTTTGCATTGAAAATCATAACCAAGAGTTGAATACATTATAAAATAACGTTTAATTTTTTTTCCTCTAGAGACTGAAATACATGGTTTAAAGCATTAAAAAAAGAAAATCTGGAAGTCTTAACTGTGTGCCTGCTGTACATAAAAGATCTAGTTTTATTTTAGAAGTGTTAATATTTTGGCAACATTATACGTTGTTCATTTCAGACTCCTAACCTTGGGCTCAAGCTTTACAAAGATGGATTGAGTTGTGGGGGGGGGGCGGTTTCGGGGGTGCTGCGGTGGCTTAGATACCATTTTGAGGTTTGAAAGAGTGCCATAACTCGGAATTGATATCACTGAAATAATCCAGCTAGGAGTATCAGAAGGCTAGTTACACCCTAAAAGCATGGTTCTGTAGCTGGGTTTCCTTTATTTTGTGAAATGCTCTGGACTGAAACAAAAAGGTCACATTTTGAGCCATTTTTTGTACAAAGATGGCATTATCTGCAAGATAAAGTTTGGTAATAGTTATGAAAATACATTGTCCTTTAAATAGAACATACGCTACAGGAGGAACAGTAACACCACTACAAATAAGGATACAGCACTTCTAATTGCTTTTTAAATTTCTCCAACCTGAAAATTTGAGTGCTTGGCCTCTGCCTGACTTCTGGACACAAGACAATAATTGCTGTCAAGTAAATTAGTATCAGCCCAGTGACTGCCTGATACATAAGACATATTTTAGCTTTTTCATAACATTCAGGAAAATAACCTGACATAAGTAACTTTATTTTTAAAAAGCAGGCTTCTAACACACACCTGTGATCTGCAAATTCAGGATTCACTTCCAGTATTCTCTAAAAATCCATGGTGCCTGCAATCACCACTGCCGCTGTTCAGCTAAGTGCTCAGGGAAAACAAACATAGCCAAATTAATATTTTGAAGAATGTGTTCATAATATTATTTGTGCTGTAAATACGACCAGGAACTGTGGCTTACATAGATCACCTGATCCTGAGTAAAATACCAACTCATAATTAGTGAGGGAACTTAAGACTGGCGGCTAAGTGCATCTACTGTACAGACAGATCTGATTAGGCTCTGACATATCCATGAACAATGTGCAGTGTGTTATTTGCTGACATGCCAAATGATTTCCCACAGAAGCCAGTAAAATAATTCTAACATCATTAACAAACTTAAGTATTTCTGTATTTTCCTAATGCTCTTTGGAGAACAATCTGTCTTTTCATTAGAGTAGGTGTCTGCAGCAGCAGAATTACAAACGGTGGCAGGGGCTGCCAGACGCTGCTCCTGTGCGAACGTGTACGGATCAGGGTTGGAGGGAAGGTTGCTTACCAAAGTGATATCTACCCGCCTCCGCCCATGAGGCAGGCAGGCAGTTTTCTGGGGTATGTGTCAAATCAAATTTCAGAGGCTGAGTGAAAACAAGGAATGTTTTGCCTGCGGCTCTGGAGGTAATGAAGGGCTGGGGTGGATGCACAGGCCCTGGCGATGCCCTCGTCCTGGCCACTCTCTGCCGCAATTCAGGCCTCCGACTCTGCCTGTCCCTCACTTTAGCACATTTCTCCTCACCGCTGCTGTGAAGAGACAAATCTCACTATCGCGGGGGAAGGCCGGTGATTTTCCCTGAAGGTGCTGGGCGCGGTGTGGCCTGTGCAGCAGCCGATGCAGCCGGCGCTGTGCCCAGGCGAGGAAGGTGAAGGACGAGCCACCAACCTCAGGCCTGTGACCACTCAGCCTTGCGCCGGCCGAGAGAGTCATTAGAGGAGTAAGATGCTGCTGCTCCTGCCCCGGGGGTGGCGTGGGGGTTATTTACATCCTTCCTGCCTCCCTGTGGTTTTCAAGTCACCCGCACGGGCAGCCTTTACAGGTTCAGTTTAAAAGACTGTAAGAAGCGTGTCTATATAGACTGTGTATACACACAGACTTCTTACCGACCAGGGCTGCCGCAACAGCTTCTGCAAACGACCCTCGCCCATTTCAACGGCCCCTCCGCCGCCCGCGGCCGCCTCCCGCTCCGCCCCGGCGAGGCCCAGCCCCGCGGGTGGAGCGGGCCGGGGCGGGGCGGGGCGGTGGCGCCGTGGGCTCGGAGGCGAAGCCGGAGTTGGGGTTGAAGACGAGTGAACTTCCGAGGCAGGGCTGGGCTGCTCTCGCCGCCGCTACCGGCGGGGAACGAAACTGGGCGGAGAGACGGCCGAGATGGTGGAGGACGGCGGGGAGGAGGAGGCGGAGGGGGAGAGCGGGAAGATGCCGGCGGCCGCCGCCGCGCCGCCGCCTCGCTGCAACGGCTTCCTCCCCGGCAAGGAGGCGGAGGACGGCGAGCGGGCGACCCCGGCGGGCGGCGGGGAGCGGGAGGCGGCGGCCGCCGAGGCCGAGGCCATGCTGGCGGCGGGCGGCGGGCGGGCGGAGACGCGCCTGTCGCGGCGGCGGCTGGCGGTGCTGGCCGTCTTCAGCTGCTACTCGCTGGTGAACGCTTTCCAGTGGATCCAGTACAGCATCCTCAGCAACGTCTTCGCCGGCTTCTACGGCGTCTCCTTCACGCAGATTGACTGGCTCTCCATGGTCTACATGGTGGCCTACGTGCCGCTGATCCTGCCTGCCACCTGGCTGCTGGACGCCCGCGGCCTGCGCCTCACCGCCCTGCTGGGCGCCGGCCTCAACGGGCTGGGGGCTTGGCTGAAGTGCGCCAGCCTGGCCCCCGGCCGCTACCCGCTCACCCTGGCCGCCCAGGCCGTCTGCGCTGTCGCCCAGGTCTTCATCCTGGGGCTGCCCTCACGCATCGCCTCCGTCTGGTTCGGCCCCACCGAGGTCTCCACCGCCTGTGCCGTGGCCGTGCTGGGCAACCAGGTAGGGGCCGGTGTGTGTGTGGGGCGGGGGGGGGGGGGCGAGGGGGCGGCTTTGGGGAGGGGGAGGTTTCCCGTAGGTTTTGACGTGGCGTCGGTTTAAAAAGGTAAGGCGTTTAAGTGGGAAAAAGCGTTCTCCGGCAGATGGTTACAGGGTGTCGTTGGAGAGCGGGAAAGTGATGGAGTGAGGGTGGTGGTGTGTCCCACCCTCCCCGGCCAGCCTTGCGCGGCAGGGCCCTGGCCGTGTGGCAGCGTGTGACAGCTCGCACGCTTCTCTCAGCTGCCTGGAGTATGTCAGTCGAGGCCCTTCTCAGAAGCCGTCCTGCTCCGCTTTCTCTTCCTCTTGCATTCAGTATCATTCACCTGGCCGAACCTAGCCCCAGCTGGAGCGGGGTGAGGTACGTGAACTTTCATGGAGAGCCCCCATGCCAACGTGAATTAGTTCTACTTTTTAAAATATGGCCTCAAATTGCTAAATGCCAGCAATCAAGGCCCTAGGGACTGTGACAGTGTGATCTGTAATGCTGTGATCGTTCACATCACTGCGGGGAGTTGATAACTGAGTCACTGATTTCCTAGAGCTCCCTGGTCCTGGCCAGTTCCAGAGAGCAGGAACAGACGTATCTGAAAGCCTGGGTGAAAATATGATACTGATGGGTGGTTTTTTTCTGCCCATAGCCTTGTTCTCACTCCCTGCCACTATCCCTGCTCTTTTGTGGCAACAAAATGTTAAGATTCCAATCAACACCACTGACGCAGGCTGAGGTCCTAGGTACAGTTTGATTAAGGGAACAGGGGATTTGTTTTTCCTCATGTGAGTCTGATGATTTTATGTTTGTGCACTTTGGATTATTACAGCAGTAATATTAGTGTTACATATTTACAGTTAGGGTTGCCCATTAGCTTATACCTGGCTGTTTACAGTTTTCCCGATGTTTTTCCAAAACAATTTTTTCCTTGCATTACAGTCTTATAGTGGACAACTCAACTCTCCCTTTTGGACTGAAGACTTTGGGGGTTGTTGGTTGGTTGTTCAGGTTAAAGGTTTCTTTGGCAGCTAAATTTCCATTCTTCCTGACATGTACCAGTCCCCTCCCAGTGGTGAGGTGTTACTGGGCTTTCAGTTCTGGAGTGCAGTGTCAAGGATCCAAGTTGGAGTTTGAAACTGATGCTTTGCTGGGGTGCTGAGATGTGGAGGTTGAAGTGGTGTGGGATAGGAGCAGGACAGCAGGGATTGTGCAGATGGGGGACCATGAAGAAGACAGGCAAGGAAAATGGGAGCAGAGATGTGAACAAAATAAACCTTAGTTGTTTCTGGAGCGTATTCCCCTTCAGAAACTAGGATTGATTTTAGCGTGCTGGCGTGCTTGATGGTCCTCTGCTGGGGAAACGCCTGTGAAGTGCACAGATGAGGTGTGTTTCGTTTCCCTCTGGCAGCCCTGCGCAGGATAATGTCTTGCTCTGTGGCTGCTAGCTCAGAGCTGGGCACTACACAGGGCTTAATACTCCAGTCCCGCTTGTGACCCAGGAAGACTGATATTGCTGTCGAACAAGGGAATTTCTCTGTTCTCAGTTTCTGCTTTCTTAAAAAGCCCCCAAAAAACAACAACAACAACAAAAAAAAACACAACAACCCCCCCCCCAAACAAACAAACAAACAAACAAAAATAAAAAAACAGCCAATCAACCAAAAAAACAACCAAAAAACCCCCTCTCAAAAACTAGATTGAAAGTAGTGAAATGACAGATGAGGCCCTTGGAAGTTAGAAGCGATGCCTGTGTATCCCAAGGCAGTTCACTTCTGCACATGCATTGTGATACAGTCTCACCGCTCTTGTTCAATTGTGCAAGGTGAACTATGTAACAGAATCAGGTTGCTATAACCCGATGAGCTGTTGCCCATCCCATTTCTTATCAGATACTGTGTCTAATTCAGAGCTACAGCAAACAGGGCTGGGGCCACAGGCAGGGGAGGGTCAGAGCACTTGTCAAAAATCCGATTGCACCCGTTATTTCTTGAGATGCTGATCATTTGCAGTTGGAACATAAACCACTGGGAGTGCAGCGATGTACCTGTCAAGGGTTGTTGGAAGCGCCATATTTCTACAAGCATTTAGCATATTAAGCTGTGAACACCAGGCTGGCTGGAACTCTTGATCCTTCTGTCTTAACCTTTCTAGATGTAAAAGGTGAAAAATGGTATCACTTGACTTTCTTGCAAGATTGTGGGTACTGTATTGGCTCACATTGGGGGAAGAAAAAAGATACCTTAAGAAAAGGAGTAGGTATGTACTCAGTCCATGTTTGTAGGGTTCATATACTGAAAGGTGAGGGTAAAAAGAGGCAAATTCTTCAGGTAAGCACTCGATACTGTGTAAATCTGATGGTCTGTGGGGAAAAAAAAAAAAGGCAGAAAACCTCTCATTGGAAATATGCACAAAGGGTGCTTTGTAAGCGTGTTGACACATCTTTAATTTGAGTACTTTCTGGGTGTTGAAATGCTACTCTAACAGCCTTTGGTGTTCTTTTTTTATTTTATTTTTTTTTACCTGAAATAGATGCAGGTTTTTTTAGTGTAAAAAAAAAAAAAAAAAAAGTTGTTCTAACAGTTTAAAATGCAGTTTAGTTCTGGAGGAACAGCAGAAATAAAGTGGAGAGTAGACCAAGACTGTTGTTCCTTCATGTTTTAAAATGATTTGTATATGCCTAAAACTTCAGTCCTTGTTTTTGGTCTCTTTTTAATACCACATGAGTTGCTACACTGGAAAAGACTCAAGATACAAACCCACTACTACTTTATTTTGTGATTTTTCTTTATTTTCTTAGCAAAAATTGCAGATGTAGGTTTTCATTTTATTTTTCTTAATAAGGATGATCCTTTTCTCTTGTTCTTTTCTGCTCTATCAGTTCTGCAATAAACCTTGCATCTCAGTCTTTGTTACTGTAGTGGCAGGATCGTGACATCAAGTGCAGCATTTTGATTGAGGGAAAAAAAAAAAAAAAGCGCATTTCTACAAGAGTAGCTGGAGACTTCTGTCATCTCTAGGCCTTCAGTTGCAGGATGACCAATACAAATTTATGTGCATGCACAGTATTTTCCTGTGAAAATCCAGATAGATTCCGGAAGGGTTCTTCTGCAAAAAAACTTTCTTAATGCTTAGCCATTAAATGTGCTATATACTAGGTGTAGTATTGTAGTTTAATCTAGAAATGAAAAGGTTACAACATGAGTTACGGAAGACGTGGTTGTGAAATGTCATTGAGAGTAAATGGCACAAAAGTATGATACTAAAGGAAAACTTTACCTTTATAGTTTTATTAATACTTACTATGATATAAATTCTGAATTCTACCTGGTAAGGCTTTTCACTTCTATTAATTTTTATGTTTGCAGGGAAATGATTTCTGGTTTTCTTTTCTTGCTTTACAGCTTGGCACTGCGATTGGCTTTTTGTTGCCACCTGTTCTGGTTCCAAATACACCTAATGATATTGATCTAATGGCACATAACATCAGCATCATGTTCTATGGAACAGCGATAGTGTCCACACTTCTGTTCTTCTTAACAGGAGTTGGTAAGAAGTGTTCCATTCTTGTATTTTAAATGGTGACCTTAAGGAGTGTTTGCAACATCTCACTTAAAGCATCTGACTTTTCTCAAAGTAGTTGAGGTTACATTTTTTCCAATTTCCTTGTGCTCACTTCCCTTTTGTGCTAGCGTTAAACAACAACCAGTTGACTGTATGTCATGCTTCTCATGGGGAGACCTCTCAAAATACTTAGTTCACTTAATCTTTTTGCTACAAGGACATTATGATATAATGTGAATTCTGTTAATCTTACAATTCAGATACAAAGGTCTAGACGCATTGCAGATAAAGTCTGTCCTTGACCATATGTTGGTAGCAACCAGATGTGACCAAATAATTAGCACATCCTTTGTGGCTGTTGATTCGTCCATGGGAAAATCTAGAATATTTTTATCATGAAAGTGTTAAAAACCACAAGTTAATCTGAAATGCATCAAACTGAAACACTTAAAAAAAACAACCAAACAAACAAACGAACCACAACATTAGTGTGGTAAAGACAAATAAAAACTGTTCCTTGTTTTTCCTCAGTGTTTGAAGAAAAGCCCAAATACCCTCCTAGTCACTCTCAAGCAGTCCTGCAAACTATGCCTCCAGAGAATTACTCCTACAAGCAGTCGATTATTAACTTGTTCAAAAATATTCCATTTGTACTTTTGCTGATCAGTTATGGTAAGTGGTGCTGTCTGGCTGTAGTCTGGCAGAACAGTTCGAACGTGTGCCAAAAATGCATGGAGTTTTAGTTGTGGTGATGGTTCTTCATGGGGGGAGGGAGTGTCAAACTTTCACTTACTCAGCAGCCAGTGCTGGAAAATCTGCCAGGATTCAAAATACCATTTATTGGTCTGATGAACAGATATTTATCTGGCAGATAAAAGGTTTTGCCTTCAATGTCAGTCTTAAATATCAGAAGATAAACTCTTAGGAGTATCAGATCTGTGTGGCTACACCTGGAGTGACTGAAGTTTTCCTTTTGGTACTGCAGGTATTATGACTGGGGCATTTTATTCTGTCTCTACATTATTAAACCAGATGATAGTAACTCATTATGAGGTAAGTTTATTTGATCTCCTTTTTATTTCTTGTTTTAATGGTACATTTACAGAGGTGACGTTTATTATTTTGTAGGTGCTATGCGTGCTCAGACATTTGGTTTCCTTTATACCCCTATACAGTTTCTTGCATCATACAGCTGTGGGAGTTATAGGAATGTTTGTTTGCACTTATGACTGCCAAGAGGTCTGAACTTGACTCTGAGTGGAAGCAAGTTATTAATGAGCACCATATAAATATTTGTTGAAAGGGAGAAGAAGTGAACGCTGGGAGAATTGGCTTGACACTGGTGGTGGCAGGAATGGTGGGTTCGATTATTTGTGGTTTGTGGCTGGATTACACTAAAACATACAAGTAAGTGTGGGTAGGCATGTATGGGGTTAGGGGTAGGAGAGCAGTGCAATTGCATTAGAAAAATACTGCAACAAAGGAGCTGAAGTGAGTTGATGATAAAATCCAGTTCATCCCTGATTTTTAAGTGGCCTTGATGGAGACTAGTTTCTGAGGCTACAGCAAAAGCTTGAGACTCTTAATGGTTCTTGGCCAAAAGAAATGAGACAGGAGAATGCAAAGATGTGAAGGGTTTTTCCATCTACTCCTGTCTCTTCGGTAGTGTAAGGCTAACAAGGAAACCATTGTATGTTCTACATACAGTGGCCAGGTGGCCAAGTGGGCTCCTCCTCCTAGGACAGAATAAAGGCTCAAAACCTACTTGCATTGTTTGTAAAATGGACAGTTGATTCTATTTTTTTTTTTTTTATACTAGTCCCAGTCCTATTAGTGAGCATAACATTTGCTTTAATTCTGGGGATGACCACGGAGCAGAACTCTGTTCTGGGGTAGGAACTCCCAGGCCCATCACCCATGGTGTGGTGCCCCCCCAGGAGTGAGCCGTGCCCTGGAGTGCTGCTTGTGGTGGGGTAGTTCTCCCCTCTGACTCTTAGTATCTTATGTGCAAGAGCTCTAGAAAGCGAATGGATGTTAATGCTGTAGATTGGCTTTGTTTCTGCATGTGTTTAGGCTTATAAGTGATACGTGCTTTAATATTTTGGATGACATCCCTTATTTCAGATTTAAAAGAAATAGAATACTGCTGAGATCTGTTCGACTTGCCTCTTAGTCTGACTTTTGTTGCTAGTAGTGTTTGATTTCACTGCTCATGTATTGATGTGTTGTATAATGGGCAGCACTGCAGAATGGCCAAGAAGCACAACATAGCGGAGAACTGGAATAGTCTTAAGATAACAGTATCTGCTGTGGTTATAAGTCTTTTTAGCCTTGAGTGAAGCAACCATATAACCAAGGCAATAAAGAGTTCGGAAAGGGATACATTCTCATTGCATGATATATTTGAGTCAGAATTACATGAAGCTGTAGAATGTCAGTTGTTAGAGAGTAAGTAATGTTTTGTGTTAGTCTTTCATGCTTCAGCAATGTGCTGTGATCTTATGTTAACAATTTTTTTATTTTTTTTTTTTTTGGTTGGGTTGCAGGCAAACAACTCTGATTGTTTACATTCTCTCCTTCATTGGGTTGCTGGTATTTACTTTCACCCTGGACCTTGGATACCTTATAGTAGTGTTTGTGACTGGAGGAGTACTTGGGTGAGCAATTAAAGAGGAGAAGAAGACTTATTGCAGTTGTATTCAGAAACAATATTTAACTGTTTTTACAAAATGATTCTACATATATTCCGTCACCATGTGCTCAGCCTATGCCTATAGCTCACAGTACAGATAAGGTTTACTAGCATTTCACCTTCTGTTACATCAGAAAAAATCTAAAGTAACTCACTTTTTAGTGAATTTAATTTAACGTTTTTGTGGACCTAACAGAAGTCTGTATGCGGTCCATTTGTTTGACTCCAATTCAGAAAGCTGTCTGCAGTAAAGTTGAATCTTTCTGTTGACCAGTGGATAAGTAATTAGAGTTTAACTGAGCAAATCTAGGAAGACTGGCTTCTGTGCATTTTGATTAATCTCTATTTTGATAGCCCAAGCAGCATGCTGGGTGCTTCATTCGCTCAGAAAAGCATGAGTACTTCCCACATATACATAACCTAAAAGCCCCAAAAGGTGCTGAGGGAATAGTGCTGTATCCAGACATGGCAGTCAAGGTAGAGCCAGAAATGTCTGGAGCGTTTCAGTTTAAAAATAAATCAGCCAACCTCAACTGCGTTAAGCCCCTGCTCTTCCTGTCACCTGTTGGTTCCCTCAGCTTCTTCCATGGCAGCTTCTAGCAGACTTTCCAGTGTCTGGCCTCACTCCCTACTGATGATCTCTTTTTGTCCTCCAGCATGGACAGTTGGGCTAATCAGATGATGATATTCATACATGTCTTTCATTTGAAAGTAATTGGCTTCAATTATGAAATGGCTTGTGGACTGGTCATAAAAGATTGTTTCATGTATATGGAGTGGAGTGCAGGTGGTTATGGGAAACAGGACAAACATGTTGATACATCTTTGTCCTAAAAAGAGAGATGTATGGCTAAAATTGTTTCATGGGGTTGGAGGAATGAAGCAGGTAAAGCAAGTATTGAATCATGTTAGGTCTTGAAAACAGTTCAGAATACCAGCTGATCCATGTGTTTATGTCTGATTTTCTTAGCTGTAGTAATAGATGAAGGACACACCTGTCATGCTCTTGGTCTTCTCTTCAACAGGTTCTTCATGACTGGCTATCTTCCACTTGGGTTTGAATTTGCTGTGGAAATTACATACCCAGAGTCTGAAGGAACTTCCTCAGGTCTCCTTAATGCATCAGCACAGGTTATATAATTTTATTTCTTAAAGTGAAGTAATGTTCAGGAAGGCCACTCTGCTCGAATCTATGAAGGCTTTCTTAGACTTGGTTGCTAAGTATCTGTTGTGTTGTTACAGTCTTAATTTTTTTAATTTGGCTTCTATAAGATGTGATCTGAAACTTTGTATGGCAAAGTGATGACTCTCTTCTGTGTGATCCTGATGAAGTAACTTGTTTGTCTATAGATATTTGGAATTGTCTTCACACTTGTTCAAGGAAAACTCACAACAGACTACAGTCCTTGTGCAGGAAACCTCTTTCTTTGTGCTTGGATTTTTGTGGGCATTATCTTAACAGGTAATTAATCAGAAATGTAAGTAATGATTTCTCTTTAATGTAAAAATGTGGAATTTTTTTTGAGATACTGAATTTCTGGGTAGCTCTAGATGTCTCGGACATCTAGGATTTAGATATGTTGCTTTCTGTCTGAGCTGACAGAAATTGTAAATTCAGGGTTTGGTTTGTGTTTTTTTTGCTTTGTTTTTCACTTTAAATACTTGCTGTGTGCACACCCTTTGTTTTAAGGATGCTGCTGCTAACGTGTAGGCAGCCATCTAACACCCATTTCTTGAGTCATGTCTTAAAGTTGAGGAAGATGTCTACCTCCAGAATGGGACAGTAAATGTAAACAAATACATAAATGGAGGCAGTTTGAAGTTTTCCAGATGCAAGAAACTGCTGATGTGCTCCTGAACTGTACCAATGACTTACACATGCTGGTACTTACAAATGTGCTGAAAGTGTTAAAACCATCAGAGCTTTAAGTGCTTATGGTTTAAAAGCTTTTGTTGCCATTTTCTGCCTGTACTTTGCTACAAGCAAGTTCAAATTGTCAGTAAGTTCAAATCACAAAAGAGTGAGTACAGGTATTTTGAATACGTGTACAAAGCAGCTTCCATGTGCTTGCACTGTACAAACATTTCCCTTGAAGCACATGTCATTGCCAAGTTGTGAACCAGCTTTCTCTTTATTTTTTTGTTTCAGCCTTAATAAAATCAGATTTGCGAAGACACAATGTGAATTCAGGGATTATGAATTTGGATGTTAAAGCTGTAAGTGGTAACTCTCTTACCATGATTGTATTACCTACTTGGATGCTTGGCTTCTATTGGTGTAATAATATTAACAGCAAAAGAATGACTGACAAAAGCTTATAATATGATTGTTTTCATGCTGTTTTGAAACAGAGCCACACGGGATGCTGCCCTCAGATATCAGTTTCTCCCCTTGGCTCCCATGAAAAACCTGCTCTCGCATTTTTCTGGATTTTAAGTGGCTAATATTAATCTTTGGTTTTATTCCTTGAATCTTGCTTTTTCATATTTGCAGGTAGCATTGTAAATTGTGAAGCCTTTTTGTGTGTTGGGTTAGAAGGCTGTGCTACAGACTACGTGTTTTAATTAAAATTCCTGCAATCCCTTTAAGTGAAATCACTGTCGGATGAACAGAAGTAATGCTGCAGTTTCTATTCTGTGCTGCATGAAGAGCTGGGTCTGTTCTGCTGAGCACCCTCTCAATTTAAATGAAGAGTGAGCACAGCATTTTCTGTTGTTCAAGAGGTCCCAAAACCACGTTTCAGCAGCCTTTCCAAATTACCACAGTTACTAGTAGAAATGAGGCTGTCACTGGAAACTTTTTTTAGTGCTGTGGTTTTTTTTGATCATTTGGATCAAGGTAATGAAACAGCTTTTTGGAGTCAGATATTGCAAGATCCTTTGTCACGCTTCTTTTTATGTGTAGATGTCTTGCATATATAGCAGCTTTTGACCATCTGCCATCAAGTGCACGCTGTCAGTATGTCTGCATAAGGCTCGGAAACTTCCAAGCTGGTGCTGTATGAGTTAACTTGAACCTGAAACCTGTGCAGCTGTGTGTGCACAGTATGGCATCCTGTGGGTTTAGCAGCCTGGGTCGGGGCTATCTCAGGGTGTACATGCTGACTATAGGCAGTGGCCCATGACTTGTCTGTTTTCTGTTAGCACCTTGTTAATTAGTGTAGATTGTCGCACAACTTCATTTCTGTTAGCCAGGATATAACAAAATCCTGGAGTCATCTCCCTGATAATACCATAAATAGAGAGCTGCCTCTGTTAATAAGGTACAATAACACTTTGATACCAAACCTTGATCGTCAAGATTCTGCTGTGTTTAAATATAATGGAGAAAAAAACCTCAAAGTTAATCTCCATGTGAAAATATCTATATGAAGTAAATACATACGCTAGAGTTATACTAAGAAACTCCATGCTGTGGGGTTTTTTCATTTTCATTACAGAGAGAAGGGAAAATAAGTCTTCCTATAAAAGCCTGATTTAGCTAATTAAATACATATACTATTGGAGTCTAACCTAATAATTACCCAAGAATACCAAGGTTGGAAATAGCTTCTGCTGAATAACAACTTAATTCCTGCTTTTTTTTTTTTTTATTTCCCTTTGCCAGGTACCAGTTGACAGTCCTGTAGAACCTGAAAGTACTACATTAAAAATTCAGTCGGCTTTATAAAGCTGAAAGAAGGTGACTTAGAATTGCACAAGTTTGGTTGGATACTGAACAATACTGATTAGTGTAATCACTGGATTTGTATGTATGAGTAGTAAAATGTATTTGTTGATATTGGTGATAGTTGTGCAGTGGAAACTATGAAGATGCTCAGTTCATTTTGCCCAAGATGCAAATAATTCACTGTTGTATGGAATATTTATTTTAACAATTTTCAGGTTTTGCAGTTTCATTGGTAAAGAACTGTGTGAATACTCTCCATACTAGGGAGACATGTACATTCAGGATGCATACTTGAAAAAATCTGGAATCCTGAAATACAGTCGTCATAATCAGAAGTATCTAATCTTCTTTTCTTGTTCAGTCTTTGCTAGTGCATTTGAAAAGTCAGAGAGTAGATAGCTGTGCAGCTGGAGGATGTTCACAGGTTCCTTTTTTTTTTTATATATATATCTGTATTTTTAATATAAGCCAATGGTTCCTTCTGGGAAACTGTATTTTATAGCACAATACTGAAAACGAGATGACTGCAAACGTGTGTGTTTCATACTGGCATCTGACATTTCTTTTGCCTTGACACTTCTTGATAGATATCAGATGGCAGATAAGAGAAAACACTGTCTTATAAATTTATTGTAACATCTCCCACTAGATAAATTGAAGAAGAAACATTTCTTATTAAATACAGTAAAAAGGAGGGGAAAGGCCTTTGATATCTTTACTGTGAAGTATTTATAGGCAATGGAACACTACCACACAGGTTGCCTCCACGGAATATTTTGAGTGCTTTCTCAGTTAAAGTGAGAGGAGTATGTGTTTACAAAGAGCTGGTGCCTTTACTTTGTAAAGAAGATCCTTGCCTCATCTTGAGTTTAATCAGTGCTGCTGAAGAAATTCCATTTTGTGTGTTAAACCTCCTCTGAATATTTGTGAAGTATCAGAAAATGTGTTCTATCCTTTTTTGCATTTATTTCTCTGTGTTATGGATTGTATCATCTGTCTCATGTGAAATCTTTGTGCTTGTATAACCTAAATCATGTCCTTTGCAGTTTGTTAAAAGCTGTAAGGATGACTGAAAGGAAAATAGTGATGTTTCACTTTGATTGAATATTTGCTGTTTATATCATGCATCTTAGCTATGAAAGGAGCAGACTTCTTTAACATTCACCTTGTGTTATTACATTTACCTGAATTTGGGATGTAGATCTCTCACTGCAGTGCTTATGAAAATATGCTCCTTTATCTTGAGCTCTATCTACACACCTACAGAATTGATAGCACTACAATAATACTGAGGCCCTACTATTACTGAAAAAGTCATACCTGAGTTAGTGGACTTTTTGCAAACATTTAAGCTTTAGCAGTCTTTAAGCTGAGCCTGCAGGTTTGGTACCATCAATGATGCTGTCTCTTTGAGTTCCCACAGATGTAATGCCATCCAGAAGCTGGAATCCTACTCTGAATTTTCCACAGATTGTTACAGTTGGGTATGGGGAACTTTTTAATTCCGATATAGTCTTTCAGTATAAGTATTGTTAAATGCTTTTCTTTTTCTTGTTTCACTGTAGATTTGGATAATCCTTTTATATAAAAAGGACTCTGCAAACTTAGCTTTTTAAACTTAGCCTCTAAACTCGACGATCTTGATTTTACATCTTGTATGATAAATACTTCAGACATGGGAAGTCTGAATGGCAATATACATACTGGAATAAGCTAATCATGGTTGGAACACTCGCCTTTCCAAAAGGGGTTGATGTCTCTTTGCCAGGTCCAGTGCTGGAAAGAAAATGGGCACCCCTTGCTGCTCCTGGAGAGGCGAGCTTTACGAGGAGAGTCCTCTGGTGTGATAGCTAAATATAGGAAAAGTAACTCATAGATATTCAAAAGGCAGGCAAGAGTATAGGAGTGGAAGGGGAGATGCTTTCATTATGTCAGTTCTTTACATTTAATGACTTGCTGTGATGCAAGCTGCCTCCTCAAGAGAGCAAAGTGAAAGTTCCTGCCTTTTGATACCTGTGGGTGGCTTTTCTTTGGAAAAATTATACTAATGTGTGCCAAAATATGTGTGTTCTTTGGCACTATACAGATTCAGTAAATATTTATTCATGGCCCGTGGTTGCCTTGTACTTCTGCTGTTGCAAAATGTTAATATGATAATATTTTTGCAATTTTGCGGAAGTGTTTTCAAACATCCAATAGAAAGTCTTCGGCCATATCCAGAATGCTTTCTGAGATATCCAGTACACACTGTTCAAATTCAAAGACTGAGCTCTTTTTTGTTTATTTTTAATTATTTTTTTTTTTTAATTCCTTTCTTCACTACTAGTTTCCAGTTTCTTTATTTACGTTCAGTTGATTACTGAAAAAATATTCTAGCCCTTCTGGCTCCTCGTTCTTTTTTATCTTCTGCCAAATTACCTCTGAAAAGGTCCAAACAAGATTTTGGCATGCTGAACACCCTGCTGGGTCCCTGAAAAGAAAATATTCCTAATAATGAAGGCTTAATTACATCCTGGACTTAACACTCTCCCTCTAAAAGGAGCTTGAAAGTTGGAAACCTGTGAGCTATTTCCAGGCAATGATAAAGTATTTAAATAAAAGGCTCAGTAGCAAAATAAGGAGCAAACCACTATTTTATACGATAATCTTATCTGTCTGTCAAGAAACTGAGGTTCTAGCTCATGGCAGAAATAAATTTGGGGTAGTTGGGGCTTTTGGGTTTTTTGCTTTTAATTTTTGTTTTTAAACAAACAGCATCTACCCAGTCAAACATCCATCGGGAATTGGAAATAGGGTTGCTGACTCTCTTAGCCTTGAGATTCTGACACAGCCTTCCAGTAAGAATAGAGGTGGGGGCTAAAAATTGTAACTCCTTAGAGGTAATAATTTAATGAATGGAATTACACATCAACTATGAGAGGATGGAGTGGGAAACCAAGCGGGGAGAGGCATCCCAATCCCATGCATCAGCTTTTGCTTTTCAATATGCTTTTCTTTTGAGTGCTGGAAGAGAACTCGTGTAATGGGGAGCGTAAGCAGGGGGGCTGCCCCCACATTCTCAGGGGCCCACCAAGGTGTATAACTGCTAACTTTCAGCTACAAGATTCAGAGATTAGCCTTTACAATATCTGTCTCTGTTTTTTCCAGACCATGTTAAACTTTTGGCTAACTTCAGTGGGAGAGACCCAGAGAACATTGACCCATTTTTATTTAGGATTCCTAACATGGCCTTAAAACCCTCATTTCTTTTGGCTTGGTGTGTAAATACCAGCCCTGTAAGGCATGGTCTGGAATTGCTGCAATTGGGAGCTTTCTTCTTCAGCTTGGTAGATAAGTCCTTCAGAGTATTTATTTTGTAGATTAGTGTTTGTCTTTAATAACATCTCTTTCTGTTGCTGAATGCTCATGTTTCATGAGGAAGAAAGAACAAGGGAAGAAGTGGGAAGAAGACATATGAATCATTTTAGGTTAATAGAGTTTTCCTAACTTTACCCTCTTGGTCATCTCTTTTGTTCAAGACAGTCTGTTGTTTCAGAGACAATCACTGGAGTGTGTAATTAGAGCTGCTAGCCCATGTTTCCTAATGAGGAAGTGCTTTTTGAGAAATCTTTGGACTATCTTGTGCATCCTACAACCAAGTGAAATTAGGTTAAGCTTATAAGCATTTGTTGCTTTAATTTTCCATTTGGTGAACTCATGAGTTCTGTGTGAATGGCAATGTGTGACCCTTTCCATTGCTGTCTTTCAATACGTGTATGTACCACCTTCTTAAGTGTAATAGACTACTAATGATTCATAGACCACAAGCTAAATTATTTTATCCCACGTGATTTCCCCACCATCATCATTCAGTCTGAAGTCTGTGAAGAGGGAAAAGTGATGTTAATGCATGAACTAGAATAAGTTAAGAAAAAAATATTCCAAAGAGAAATGTATTTCCGTGTTATTTACAGCTCATGTCTTTGTTCTGCTCATGAAGATAGCAAAGATTTTTGCTCTAATATTTTGGTTTTGTTAGTACCCCATTCTTTGTTTCAAGAGAAAATGAAAAATTCCATATGAATACTCTTGATTGCAATATTATATGTATGTGTATATGTGGGTGACATCATTCCTTATGTTACTAATAAAGTGTATAACATGTAACTTGATTGGAGACATGATTACCATTTTTGACAGCTGCTGATAACAGCTCATGGGCTAAAAATGATTTTTTTTTCCCCCCTTAGAGTCTACCATTTAATGTAGAGAAATTTTATAAATGAGTGATACACCGTGTCATTAATATCCATGCATGCACATGTATGTGTAGAGGACATGTATGCAGGGTATATAAATGTATTCTACACAGAGTATTGGTTTATAGAGAAATCTTCTCAGGGTGTGGAATTAAAGTATTAGCATCAGTAGTTGAATTGCACTGCTCTAGCATAGTGATTTATCTGGATTTTCTTTGGAAAAGGTCTATGAGGAAAAGAAAGTGCAGTTAATACCTAAAGCAGAATAATCCAAAGTCATCCCCTTAAGGGTAGTGCAAATATTATTTATTAAAACACCCTCCCGTTGAGAGATTATCTGGGGAGAGAGGGTAGAATATCTTCTTGGAGAGGATAGATTGAGACATTGCATTCAGTTATGGCCCAACCTTTGTTTGTAAAAACAGAATTGTTTTCAGTGGGAGCACAGTAGGACCTTCGTGAACACTCTGCAAGAGTTCTGGTGCTTATCTTCAGGTCTTCAGTGTTGATCCCCAGCACGACAGCTGTAAGCCAGGTAAGTTTGAGGAGCCTGCTTCAAAAAGTGGGGTGGGTGGTTGGTTTGTTTGTTTTAATCTCCCTTCTCCACAAAACTGGAATTACCCCTGAGCTATTTTTGTATAACAGATTCTTTACAAGAGGCTGCAGGTGCTGCAGAGCACAGGAAACACAAGCCTTTTGTTGTAAAACAACATTAGCATCCAGTTCCAACAGTGAGATGAACTTTCAGATGGGCTCTTCATTTTACAACCAGGGCTGTAGAGTCATGTTCTTCTTACAGTGCCTCTACAAAAGCTGCAGGCTATATCCCTGCTTAGCGCTGCAATTTAAACATTCCCACAGCTGGGAGAGAAAAAGCACAGCAAATTATTGCCTTAAAATTCATTTTTTTGTCAGACACTCATTCTTTCTTGAAAGAAAACACCAGAAACCTCATCAGGTAAGTAAGAGATATGGAGCTGTCCTGACTATGATCAGTTAAAGCCGTTCTTGAAGGAAAATCCTTTTTTTGTACTTTTTTTTAATAGTTGTTGGGGTGTTTTTGGTTTGGTTTGGTTTGGTTGTTGTTAGGTTGATTTGGTTTGTTGTTTCTATAGTTGGGAGGAGGCCCTATTATCCAAAGCTAGCAAATGCTAGCCCTTCCAGAAGGTAATGCAGTTTGTGCATGGCTAGAATACGTATGTGCCTACCAGTCCAGCTGCCTCCTAGGCTGGAAATGTTTCTTAGAAGTGTGCTGGATTTCCTTCTGGCGCTGCTTCACAAGGAGCTAACCTTGTCTGACCGTGTTCTAAATCAATATTTATATCTTTAATTAAACAACATCTTTCAGAAGACAAAACAATATCCTGAAAATTTTTTGAAGGGCTTCAGCAGGTATGTTGCAGTTAAAAAAAAAAAAGGCTAAATACTGGCAGTGGTTAGGCATAGTTACTGACTTGTGAGGCTGACTAGTGCTTAATATTAGGTGTGGTCAAAATTCAGCCTCTAGGATGCTGATTTCCAGTCTTTTCTCAATAAACTGGTTCTACCTATAACAAATCTTAGGCTATTAAAAAGTTGTAAGTAATAACTAAGGGGCACTGTCAGGATTGTGGCCTTGTGTTACAAGTTCTAGAAACAGAGACAAAAACCTACAAAAAGCTATAAACCCCATGCAGATGGAAAATATAAAAGCAATTATTTTAAAAAATATCTGGTTAAAGATGCTTCATGCGAGCCCAGAAGTGCTGTCGCTGTGGCTGTAGCTCTGCAGGTTGGAGTTCATCAGCTTTGTAGAAGAGGCAGTGAATATGAATCTTAGCAAGCTGATTCTGGAAAATGGGAAGGTATAATTAGAAGCTGCCTTTTTCCATGTCCAGTTGATTTTGGGGTTTTATGTCTGTTTTATTACTGTAATAGCAATTTCTTTCTGTTTTGACTCACTTTGTATTCTGTCTGTAGTTGTGTGTGCATCCTGAAGAAATACCTTGTAAAAGTTGTGTGAAAAAGTCTCAGATGAGACTCAGTCAGTTGACTAAAATATTATTGGCATTATTGGACTTAACAGTTAGAAAGAAATGCTTTGCCCGAATAAGAAGAGTAAACCTACTGGGAGAGGGTGAGAGCTCTGGATGATAGTTTAGTTCTCTATCTAGGTGTCCTTTAATGGAGAAATTGGCTTTTACCCTAGGAAATTATTTTGAAAATTTTTTTCTTCAACTGACTTGCAGGAGTAAAATTCAACTTCAGTTTCATAATCATGCACCTGTTCTGCTTTCAAAAGTTATGTAGCATGTACTAAGCCCAGCTTCTTGGTGACCAGCATGACTTGTGGACGTTGGGGACTAACCCTGGTTCTTGCAGCACTGTGAAAATTGGTGGGGAAAATCCCAGGGAAGTATTCAAGGCCTCAGAAGTTTTATCAGCTGCACTGGGCTGAACCAGAAACTTCCCAGTTTCTTCTTTACAGAATGGGGCAGTCCTGAGGTTCCCCAGGTGCTGATCACTAGTTTGGATAAACTAGAAGAGGGACTACAGATGAGAGCAAAGTTACTTATTACTTTGGAAATCAAATTGTCCAGCTGCTGCCAAGGGCAAAGGAAATTAAAATGTAACAGTGAAGCTTCTAAGCCTGTATATACTGTTTTCTCCATTAATTCCTGGAAGGTAACTGGATTTCTTCAGAATAATTCATCAGCTAATTCTGAGCAACCCTACAGGCATTAGACAAAACCTACATCCTGTGCTGAATGAAGAGTCATTGTCCTGCTATGGTGAGAATGACTCACCCTTGGATGATTAACTGGCTCCATGGGACTTCAATTTGTGTTATCTTCTGCTCCCAGAGAAAAACTTAAATTCACTTAGGGGCCTAATGCTAAAAGCCTGAAATTCACCTAGAGGCTAATGTCTACAGCCTAGAAATCCCAAGCTTTCTCGTCTTGTCACTGCTCCACAGAAGCTTCAGAAGGGTAGAGTTGAAGGCTCAAAAGCTTGACAAAGTTACCCAAAACAGACTGTTGCCAGAGGAGATAATGGAGGTCCATCAGCTTTTGGGGAGCAGAGTGCCCCATGCTCGATTTGATTTTCCTCTGACCTACTCCATCTGCTCAAGCTTGAGCTCTGAGAATCTCACGGGGGTTGAAATGTCTGAGTGCACGAAGAGGACAGAGAGCACTATGGAGCCTTCCTGAAGTCTGCTGGTGGTGTGATCATACTTACAGCGTTCCTGGTTTTGATTCCAAAGTCAGAAAATGTTCTGTAGGCTTCTTGAGTTTGCTAGTTACCTCTGAAAATGAATGTGATTCATATGATGGCAAATAATGAAGACTGAAAAAAAAAAAAAAAACCAAAACAGTTTGGTCGAGATGACTATAATTCCTCTAAGAACTTTGAATTTTTAAAATGACCACAATATTTGAAATTTACTCTCACTTTCAGGTGCTTCTGAAGTGTTTTGATTACTATTCAATCACTCTGTGGAGAGAGGGAATCTTAATCTGCAGAGCACTGCCTTTCAGGGATGCTTGAGTTGATGTTTCAGATCAAAAACTGATGAAATTGTCAGTGTTGTGATACCGTCTTGTTGTCCCATGGCACTGAGAACAGTGTATCACACATTTCTCTCTGCAGGTTTCACACAGCACCTAAATTCAAGGGCTTGTGGTTTCTGGGCCAGTGACATGTTCTATTGCTAAACTAAATAACTTTCTCAGTCCACTTTCAAGCACTGCCTGGAAAGATAATGCATTTGAGGAATGTTAACGCGTAAGGATGATGTTTGCTGAGAGCATTTCCTAACCAGCATCACACTATTCCTAGACGGTGCAGGGTATCTCAGAACAGAGCTACGTTGCTTAATCAATTTCTAAACAGCACCAACAATTTTGCTTCTAATCTTCAGCAGACAGGGGTTTTATTGCAGTACATACCTCTCTCCATGCAGTCAGGGATGACTCAGGTGCTCACTTGGCAGAGGACGTAAGTCCTGACTCTCACCTTTGGTAGCTCCCCTGTTACAAGGGTTGCAGATGCTGACAACTGCTGAAAAGAAATCTAATTTCTAGCAGATCTTTTTTTAACCACTGTCTTGCTTTACTACCTGTACTTCTGTTATGCAGTTCCCCTGAAAAAAAGTGATAGTGCTGGGTAGTTTACCCTCTGACTAAAGGTTAAAGAAGTAATTAATCCAAAAAAGATGGAGTGCTGAGATTTATGGAAGGTTACATTAGTGTTTCTTTGTTTTTATAAGCAGAGCTTGCTGCGGAGACCACATCATGTGATATGCCAGCAAGTAAGACCTTTGCAGCAATCTTTATTGATGTAATTATTCTCCCAAGCTACAGCAATATTTGAGAGTGAAACTTTGGAACAAGACAGAAAGAGTAAGGCAGGCTAATAGGGATGCTGATGTTGCACCACTCAGAAACATCTGTATGATGCTGTCAGTTGTAGATCGGAGTGAGCTGACTAGTAAGTGTGGAAGAGGAAGGGCTATTTCACTGTCAGCAAAGGCTCAGGCCAGGTAGGATGTGCTGACCCGCAATGGGGGTGGAAAGAGAAAACTTGCAAACCAATTTTGGGGGAGGCCTGATTTCTGGGCTTTTTCTGCCACTGATGTTTTTAATGCTGGAAATCTTGTCTCTTGGATCAGGCTGAAATTAACCGGAGCCCAGTTAACCAAACCCATCTAAAATAAGCACTATAATGGCTTGCTGCAGAAAAATTAATGCAGGAGGTTCTGGACTTGCTCAGGCACAAATCAAAAGATATTGCTGATGCTCTTCACTGCTAAAGCCAAAGCAGCCGATGGCTGTTTTTTCTGCTAGACCATTGCAAAATAAATAATGTGTTAAGAGTTTCCAGAAAGGGCTACCTTGGGGAAAGCTCCAAGGAAGCACTCCCTCAAGC